AAGAATGGAGGAAAGGGGAGCAAGAGCAACTCGGGACAAGAGGAAAATGAAAATGAAAGGAGAAAGACCAAAATGAAAGCAGAAGGGGGTGGGTCGGCAGGGCATAGGGAAGTTTACCGACGAAACCCACATTGCTACAGTGTAAAGCTGCTCATCTCTGCGTTGCATCAGGATTCCCGTTGACTGGACCATCACCGACGAGTATCAAGTTGGAGGTGGAAATATTACCGACCTATATCTGATCTGCAAACAAAGTAAAGCTGCACCGCCAGTGGCCACCAGCCGAATTCGCGGGGAGTTGCTGACAAGGGCAATTTACCGACAAGCATTATGTCGGAAATGTCATCAAAAAGCTGCACCCCGGCCGCAGGCAGCCAGCTGGTTGGCGGGGGCGGTGCATTGGGACTGGAAATTACCGAGGAGATGAACGTTGGAAATTGTTCCTCATTTACCGACGAGACTAACGTTCCAAATTCAATTCACAGGCGTACTTTTCATCGGTGATATGCCTTCCCTCTTGTCCTCAGGCCGCCGGAGTTTTGGTTACAATTACCGACAAGAAACACGTGTGTATGTTGTTAAATTACCGACGAGTCTTACGTCTGTACAAGAAATAATATATATTACTACCATTTCTACTGTTTCTCAACTTGCAGACTTACATTTTGTCGGTAAATGGATGCTTCACCGAGAAACCTTCTTACCTCGGTGATAGCTGGTCGGTGAAGCTAGGTTTTCTTGTAGTGGGAGTAAGTGTTGCTGTAAAAACATAAAGAATCAAGTTATTTCTATTATCTTCGTTTTCCTTTTTTTTTTTTTTAATAGAGATTTTAAAAAGATTTTAGATATTCTTTATGTTTAATATCAGAGAGAAACGGGAAAAATAGAGCAGTGAGGAAAATAAAGGGACTCTTTGTTATAAAGGTTAAAATCTAGTGGTTAGCTATTATTGGGTGATTGATAGTGGGTAAAAAATAATAGATAGGTGATATTACAAATTAATTACATATTTATTGCATTTTTATTTTAACACATTATTATATAAATAATTTTAATTGATTAATTATTTAAATTAAAGTTTATATTTATATTTTTTTATATAAATTAATTTAAAATATATAATAAATTCATAACACTTGTTTTTTTTTATTTTTTATTATTACATAATGGGAAGCAACCATCTTCCATTTCTTATTCCACCCCATCTGCATGCCATACGATTTAAACTCAAAACCTTTTATTTTCGGCAGAACCCTCAAATTAGCCCCTGACAAATATGGGTAGGGACGGATCCACCCCTCAAAAAAAAGCAGGGACAAATGACACCCCTAAAGTATCGATTTGGTCAAATCGATCATTATCTAACGGGTGACGTCATCACCGTCACGATCTCCGTTACCTCGTGC